CCCGGCCCTGCCGAGGGTCCCCAGTCTCCCCTCCCCCCCAGCGCTAAGGGAAAACTGCCCCCCGCCCGCCCAGGCTCACCTACCAGCTCTCCTGGCGCCTGTGTGGGGCTGTGCCCACAGGTCCCCCTGCCAGGTCCGACCCCGGCCGTGCAGAGCCTGCAAAGGAAGGGGGGGGTCACACCCGGGAAACCTCCTCCCTGTCCGTGGCCCCCTGCTCGGCCAATCAGCAGCGAGATGGGGGGGCGAGAGATCTCGGGGACGTCCCAAGGGCTGGCCCAGGTCACCCCAGAGGGGTCGGTCTCAGAGCGATTCCAGCCCCGCCTCTTTGGGGGGCTCCCCACACAGCCTGGGGGGTGACTCTGAGGCTGCCCTGCCTTGCAGCTGATGTCAGACCTCGCCCCCCCCCCCCCCGCCTGCCCCAGGCCCTTGTGGTGTCATTGCCTCACCCCCCCAGTCAGGCTGATGTCCTGCCCCCAACCACCCCCTGACAGTCAGAGCCCAACCCCCTCCACCCAGCCACCGCCCAACCCCCACAGGAACGGGCACCAGTCGTCAGAGATCGTCGGGTCCAGCCCCCCGCCCGTCCGGCTGGACCCAGCCCCGTTAGCCCATCCCTGCCCGGTGTCTGCTCGGAAATATCCCCCGTGTGTAACCCCCGCACAGGACGTGTTCCCGAATGTCCAGCCTGAACCTCCCTCGCTGCAGTTAAGCCCATTGCTGCTTGTCCGATCCTCGGAGGCCAAGGGGAACAATTCGCCTCCTCCCTGAACCCAACCTTAGGTACCTGAAAACTGCTCTCCTGGCCCGTCTCAGGCCCAGTGCTCTCCCAGAACCCCCCCTGCATCCAGGGAATGCGTCTGCTCGTCTGCTTTTCTTGTGGACGTGCAAACCCTGTCTGCCTCCGCCCAACGGGAAGAAGGGAGCTTCGGAAAGAGGGTTTGGACTGACATGTGGCTCCAGAAATGCCTCTTCCAAAAACAAAAACAAACAAAAAAAGGACTCAAATTGCAGTTCACTGTTTCCATAACTTTTCCTGGCAATAGACCACACTCCTGAAATGTGGGGCCCAGGACTGGAGCCAATAATCCAAGAGGCCTGACCAGCAGCGAGACTCAGCGCAGAGCAGAGCGGAAGAAGCGCTTCCCGAGTCTGGCTCACAACCCTCCTGTTCGTGCCGTTTGCTTGGTTTTGCGCCAGTGTCACCCTGCTGATTCCTATTTGGCTTGTGGACTCTGCCCCCTATACCCCTTCCTGCCGGATCCTCCCTAGCCCGGCGCTTCCCACGCGCCACGCGC